GGAGCTCGGAGCCCGCCTGGCGCGGGCGTAGATCGACCCGAAGATCCCTCAGGCCAGCCCTCTCGCAAAAGAAGCATCCGTCAACGCCCCCTCTGCTGTTGTGAGCCTCACTCTAGGTCCACTCTGCCAAAAATACATGTTTAAAAAAAGATTCTAACCCCCAAAGAAAGGATGAAAATGCGGAAGCAGGATTTTACAGGCCTTTTGAGATCCCATAATCATAGTTTCCCCTTCCATCCCTTTAGGATTTGTTTCTTGGCTTTTTTATTTTTTATTTTTTTGGTCCAAAAATAAGGAAAGGGGAAATGTTTAGTGACGTAAACAATCCCAATCTAACGTAAATCCTTCCTGCTCGCCTATCCCAAAGAGTCAAGAGAATTGTAAAACCAGGTTAAAGAACGGGGAAAAGGCTCTCTTGGAAATTTTCTAAGAACATCCAAATCTTGTAAATGTGAAGTACACCCACCTCTGCGTTGATAATTCGCCATCAAGTTAGTCAATTCCACTCGCAAGGATTAGTTAACCTCTCTCCTGGAGACTAGGAAATCAACAGAATGGCCTATGTCAAACAACGTAATCATGGAACTATAGAATTTTAGAGATGAAAGAACCTTAAAGATCTTTGGTCCAAAGATCTAGGACAGAGTTTCAAAGAAGTTTACATAACCTACCCAAGGTTATGCAGCAAAGCCCTGGTCTGCACTCCCCTTTCCTTAGAAAACAACTGACCTTCTAAGTATCTATCATTCTGAGTTATTTTTTTAATACTTCGTTTTCTTTTGTTAATGTTTAACTTTTGGAGAGCGCAACACCTTTCTCTGAGCAATGGAAATACCCTGTCTCTGCTACGGTCATAAACTTCACTAGGAAGACTGAATCTGCCACATTTGTATTTATCCCCAGACATTCTTATTGCAGTAACTGGGGCAGGTCAAAGGGAGTGGCAAATTGCTACCTATTTAATACTACACATTTATTTTCTGCTGCTTTTCAAACTGGGAGAATAGCATTTTGGAGGATTTTTAAAAAGAGAAAAGGATACTATGCCCTGAGGCAGTTGGAAATATTTTTTTGAATGAGGTGTTTTCTTCAAATTAGGGAGGATAACCAGTTGAAAGTCTTCCAAATAGAAAAAACAATGAGTGTCTCTCAGAGAGATAACAGCATATTAGCCATTCCTTTTTACTTAGTATTTAGCTACTCTGGATGGTTTTTAAAGCAATAGTTAAAAGAACCAAAAATAGATAAAAATATTACTCAAAGAAGAAAGTTACAATAATAGAAAAATTGGTTAAACCGGAAAAATATTCCACCGAAACTTCAAATTTTCAGAATTTTTGCCAAACATTTCTCTAGATCGCCTCTAAGGAAGGCTTCCATTCCCCCTATTTTGTGGCATTGCTACATCTATGAAGCTGAAAAGGGGAGGATTTTTTTCCTTTTTATCCTTGACATTGGTACTCACTACACCATAAATTCCATGAGGGTTGATGTATAGTTGTCTTTAGTAAATGTTACTAAATAAGTAAATGAACACTATTAATTCAAGTCTTACTCCACTTTCTACCTATTGTCTAACTTAATTTCTTTACCTCCAGTCTCTTTCCTTCTTAATCCATTCTGAACACCAACATCCAGAAAAAAATTTAAAGCCCCTGATTTAGCCATTTTATGAAGTTTGTAAAAAAAAGGGGGGGGGAATATAGCGTTCTTTTTTAAAATGCAAGATGCAAAAGCCATGTGGGGGGGGAAAGGCAATAGAGAGTACAAATTTTGAGAAATTGGAAGACAGTTTTTAGTCAGAGTGAGAGAATAAATCAAAGCAGATGAGAGTATAGAGAGATGCAAAGAACAGACTGGGATTTAGGAATTTATTCTACCAGCACAGAAAGCTATCAAAGGATTTAAGGAGGGTCACGATATGATCAAAGGACCTTTGGCTTTGGGTGTGGGAACTATCTACTTTTCCTTTCACTTTTCTGTATTTTAAAATTTTTCCTTTCAGTAACTTCCAATTTCATTCAGAGTAAAAGCTAAAAGCCTTACAATGGAGTTAAAATGACCTATGCGACTCCATACAGATCTGGTCTAAAAAGAACTCACCTCCTACTCTTTGTCTCCTTACTCCACACCTTTCCTCAGACTCCAGTCACTCTTGGTCCTCAGGTACCCCGAACACCCTCTCTGTCTGAAACACCCCCTAAGTATCCACCTTCCTCCTTTGCAGGTCTTTACTCAAATGTTACCTTCCCAGCGACAATTTCCTCAGCAATAACCACCTATAAGCTCTTTATTTTTATTTTTTATCCTTAAGGCTTAGCATCATCTAAGGTACTATGGTATAGATTTCCTGTACCCTCTACCCCCCAGAAGGTAAGCTCCCTGAAGTCAGAAATTTTTGTCTGTTCTGTTAGCTGCTCTATCCCTAGAGCCTGGATCACTGCCTGGCAGTCAAAAGAACTCAATAAATATTTATAAAATGATTGAATTTTCTATGTAAGCATTATAAAACCTTCCATAAACTCAGACTGCTGGAGATCACCCAGATGTGAAATCCAAGACCTCTCGAGTCTTTGCCCAACCCTCACACCCCAAAATGACTCTGTCCCTAGGATATCAGTCCTCCTGGCACTTACCTTGTGTTCATTCTGCCATTGTTCCTTGTTGTACCACATATAGAGAAATGGCCCTTCTTCACAGCCTTAGCAGATGATGCCAATGCTTCTCCAAAGAAAAACCTTAGAATTTTGTCACAGAGTCTGTCTGACACCACACTCCCCTTCCTCAAGGAAGTTGGAGGTTTGTTGTGTTGTTTTCCTTCAATTCCTAGGTATCCTTTCCAGCCAAAGATTGCTGGTGTTGGGGAGGACCTAGTCAGCCAAAAAAAAACTGCCTATACAAATCAC